GATGGCTGCGCCGTCTCTTCCAAAAAAGCCCAAGCGACTACTGAATGTGTCTGCCTCTCTTCCTCTTTCGGTCTTTTAGTCCCTTCTCCATACTTGAGTGTTCAAAGCACCAAATAAGTCCAAAGTCCCTGCTATGTGTGTGTCGTCTTCTCCAAAATTGCAACTGCTGCCGCTATGAGCAAGTGTCTGCCTCCCTTCTTCCCCGTCCACCTTTCGATATCCTCGCCACACTTGAGTACTCAAATATACCAAAACCCTAGAAGAGATACTGCATGGCTGCGCCGTCTTCTTCAAATATCTACAAGATATCTGTTCATGAGTCTGCCTTTCTTCCTCTCCTTCGACGAAACATCAAAACATTCAGGTTCACCTCCGCATGAGAGCAGCTCTTTCTCTGGGGATGAATTAAATCCTCATGAAATTGGAACATGAGGAGCACCTTCTCCTCCGACCTGAACAGCAAGAACAAAAGGATAATCTGGTCAAACCGATGTGTCCGCGGTCCACCTCGAGCCTTAATATACCAAAAGGGAGCCACTCAACACTCATGTGTGCTTCCAAAACCAACGCGCCTTTAACAACATGTCGCTTTCTGCGGTCGTCTCCGCCTCTTAATCTTCAAAGACGACCACAACAAGCTCATGATCTGTGCAAGAATTACAAAGAGAAAGAAACCATGGAGCTTTCTTGCGGGTCCAGACTTACCATTGCCTGGTGCACCACCCGCAGACTGAAGACTAGAATATTGAAATGGTGCTCGACTTTCGCTCATGACTCTGCTGGTGGTGTGCGCAGCTCTTATATGAATTTAAAATACAAGTACGACTTAGCCCGAGTTCGTGGACTTGATGTGATTGGGAGTGATGGTGACCATCATCATCATCATCATCATTCCGACAATGAAGGCTCTGAGACTCAATTGGTACAACACACACCAATATCAAATTGAACATCGATCACATCTCAATATTTGGACAGCACTGCAATTATACTTTTTATTATCAAGCGCATACTAAGCTACGTGAGACGCCATCCATCCATCCCGATTCCGAAGGAATAAGAAAAACTACAAGACCCTCCTCAAGCCTACCAGGAGGTCGCAGAGGGGATATCGTCGTGATGCTAATGTTACAGGTTTCCATTTTCCGCCTATCCGTACGCAGATCGTAAGGTCGTGAAGTGATGCGTATGGCAGTCACATCGAGAGAAGACATGACCGAACGCTACTTGTCGGTTATTGTGAGGTGCTTACAACTCCTGCTTAGCAGAGCTGGCGCTAGCGGCGGCAGCATCGTATCCGCTCTGAGCAGACTTGGAGGCAACCGACGACGCGCTGGAAGCAGAGGATGAGGCAGCGGCGTTAGCGCTGGCAGCGGACTTGGAGATGGAGGAAGAGGATGAGGACGCGGCCTTGCCAGCAGCACCGCTGAGGGAGCTGGCGCTGGAAGCGGCGCGGACGGAAGCAGAGCTGGCGCTGGATCCAGCAGCGTCGGTAGCGGAGGTAACGCTGGCCTGCGCGAGACCAATCTGCTGCTTGATCAAGTCGGTGTAGTAGGCGAAGCCACCGGTGGCAGCAGCGTACTGTTGGCCGACGTTGGAGGTAGCAGCACCGTAAGCGGAAGCACCAGAGGCAGAGACGGAGCCGGCAGATGCAGAGGCGCTATCACCGTAAAGGCGGGCACGGTGCTTGCGGGCGAGAGCGATGAGCTCGTTGCGCTTGGAGCCCTGGGGAACCTTGATACCGTTCTTGTCAGCCCACTCCTTGATCTGGCTGTCAGACCAGGAGTCGAGAAGGGCGTCGCTGAGGCTTTGCTGGGCGTTGGCAGCAGCGGAAGAGACGGAAGCGTAGGCGCCCTGGGACTGCTGGCTGGCGAGACGAGACTGGCGACGGAGAGCAGCGATCATCGAGTCGCGGGTGTTGGGCTGGGGGACGTTGTAGCCGCGCTCATCAAACCAAGACTTGAGGTCAGAGTCAGACCAGGAAGCGTAGAGCCAGTCACCGGGGTAGTTGGCAGTCTCCTTGGCCTTCTCAGCCACGGACTGGTAGTTGTTACGGACGGCAGCGAGGAGAGAGTCACGCTGGCGGGGCTGGGGGACGGGAATGCCGTGCTTATCGGCGAAAGCCTTGAGCTGAGAGTCGGACCAACTGCAGATTGTCAGTACTGTGCTAGAGGAAGGTTTCTGGGTACTCACGAGTCGAAGATCCAGTCCTTGACACTACCATAGGCCTGGTTCGCGGAGTCCTCGGTCTCGGTCCAGTACACCTTGACCTGCTCAGCGAGGCTCTTGGCGTCCTTCTCGGTGCCCTTCTTCGCCTGCTGGCCCTTGAGGGTCAGGTAGTTCTGAAGGGTCTGCGCATCCCAGCTGGTGTAGGGAGTGACAACCTTGTCGTTCCAGTTGGCCTTGACAGTCGACTGGAGGTTCTTGCGGTCCGAGGGGCTGGGGTGGGGAACGCCGTGGTCGCTGAGCCAGCGCTCAAGCTCGGTCTCGTGCCACTTGTCGTAGACTGCTTCCTGGCGTCAGTATACTGCTGCATGGCGCTGTGGACAAATCAAAACAAACGGGAGGGGTTATGTACTATACGCACCGGCGCTTCCAAACCAGCTGTTGGCCGTTGCCGTGGCAGCAAGGGACACCACGAAGGTGGATGTAAGGGAGAACCTCATGATGTGTGGCTGCCGAAGTGAGGATGTGCTTGATATCGATTAATGAAGCAAAGACGAGGGTTTGAAGGGTAGGCAAACTCGGCAGAGGTGTGAGAGCTAGAAGGGTAGTGGTGGGCAGCGAGTTTATGAGGGGAGGGAACAGACAATGGCGGGTAGATTGTGTGCGTGCGAGTGACGTAGTGCTGCACGTATGGAGCTTGGGCAAACAAGATCCCCAACGCGCCTGCCTCGCAGAGCAGCCAATGAGGAGCTATGGCCACATGCAACCGCGTCTTTTGGCTGTGCGCAATTGTGAGATCGCCTTTCAGGAGCACGGTCTAGGCCCTGTATATGCTTGACGTTTTCGCAGTAAGAGAGCTCCGAGGCCTGTCACTCTGGTTTAGAAAGGCAGAGAGCATCATCGTAGCACAAGTCGTGCGAAATAGCGCCCCTCTGCCGGGCGTTGTGTCGCGATGGCATTTCAAAAAAATCCCATCACGTCGACAAATGCGGGGGCGATCCACACGCTAGCCCCCTACGTCATCCCCAAACATGCACAAAACTTGTGAAGCCAAGCCTACTTTCAGCGCCCCGACGATGGATAGACAGCACAAGACACGTTGTTTATGGCTGCTTATGTTTGATAAATGTTGTACATTTCATGACACTTCTACGAGTCAATTCAGCTAATTGTACACCATGCTAATGTTGTCCGAACATTCACCCGCCCTTTGCTTATCCTCGTACGCCTTCGGAGCCGCTTCGTCCACCTTCGCCTGTAAATGTGTTAGCGACATGCCAATGCCCTTCGTCAAGCTATGACATACCTTTCCAGAAGCCGCCGGGGACTTTGTCCTTCTCTGCCTCTTCGTTGCTGACCTTCTCATGCGCCTGTTCCGCCCTGTTATCCATGTCCTTGTTGTGTTGCTTGACGTCCTCGCTCTGCTCTTCAGAAGCCGGCGGGTTTTCGTTGAGTATTTTGGGTTTCGCACCTTTGACTTCGTTGGGCGAGGGCTTGTTGTCTTGGCCCTGCTTGACGGCTGGCTCTTTGTTGTCCTTCATCTGGCGGGCCGATGTCGAGAACTCGCGCTTGCCAGAAGAGCTCTTAGGAGCCGGTGACTCGGATGTAGGCTTGGGAGAGTCATTCTGGCTGGCGTTGCTGTCCTTGTTCGGCGACGACGAAGATTTGCCCTGGGCGACCTTGGGAGGTGCGGGGCCGGGGTGCTCGAGGTTCTCGCTGGGGTTGGCGCCCTGCTTCTCGGGCTTCTCTCCAGCTGGGTTGCCCTTACCAGAGCCGTAATCTGATGTCGCGAAACGAACTTGGACGCGGGCACGGGGAGCCGCCGAGAGGGCTGCGGGCCGTAGTGCTGCCGAGCGCAGCATTGACATGGGTCGTAGGAAGCTCATGATGTGAATTGGTGAGATGCAATTGAAACTGACAAAGATTCCTGTGTTGTGAGGTGTGTAGTTCAAAGTTGAGGTTGCCCGCCAAACGTAGGGTCTAGAGCTGCAATAAGTCCAAGCTCATTGTTGACGTCATGGTTTCCTCAAGTGCTAAGCTTCCAGCCGCAACGCACGTCACAGGAGGCTCGCATAACCACATCTGCAGTGCCGCAGCGACGATCAGCTAGCCTCTCAAACACCAGCCATTCACACGATATTGCACTTCAGCCGCTGTTTAGTGTAGATAAGACCTTGTTTGGGGGACTTTGAAGCCGGTTATGGTGACGGAGAGGCGCGTTGCATCTCAGGCGTCTCTTCGGCATGAGCAGAACACATGCCAATGGCTTGCGATAACGCGGAGCGAGCAGCGAGCCATTACTACTGGGACGACAATCGCCGGCATTTGCACAAAAGACTCGTAGTTCCAAGAATGGGCTATCTTACCACTCACAATAAACAATAACATGGACCTTCCTCTCAAGACCCGGATAATGACAATCCGTGATATCATCAGCATCGTCCTTCTCATCGGCCTCTTTACACCCGACCGTCTTGCCCTGACCCATGCTAGGACAATGAAGCACACCCGCATTAGTCCCATCGCTCAGGTATTTGCAGTCCTCTTCTCCAAATAGTGGCATGGTGAAGGTGCCGTGCGGCCACGGTGGAGTTGATAGGGCAGAAGGATCCGACCATTGCCGCGAGACGTCGTTGAGTACGGGGACGCTGCAGCCGTCCGCCTGCGTGTTCGGCTTGGTCTCGAAGAATGTTTAGTTGTTGTAGTCTTCGCCATTGCCTTTTGTGTTCCGGAAGATCACCGATAATGCCTTTGTCGGAGACTCGGTTTGAGGTGGTGGCGGAGGTTGCGATGCAGGGGATGGCTTAGGCACTGCTGAAGGTGTTTTCGTCGTGCTAGGCTGTGCCGGTGTCCACGTAAGAAACGGAGTCTCCGACGTCAAAGAAGACTTTGAAGTTGGTGATGATGTGGCTATTGACGAGGGCGGTGGGCTTGAGCTTTCGCCGGTTGAGTCGCTCAATGACGGCCTGGCCGTTGTCTGGAGGGTGGACGGAGTAGGCGCAGTCAAAGCTGGTGATGCGATGGATGATACCGGTGATACCGACAAGCTGTTGCTAGGTCGAGCACAAGTGTCGCCATCTTGACGTCTCAACAAAGCCTCGTACTCTTTCCACTCTGCTTCGTCCGTATCCGTCACCTCTCTTCCTCTGAGCAAGCGCAGAACTTTACCACTCGATGCGACGGACCGTTTCTTTGCCTGCACAACCTGATCTGGGAATGGCTGCCATGTGTCTCTATAACGGTAGGTAGGAGCATCCTCAAATCAAAGCTCTATCGCCGCAGCTTGCTGCTGATTACAATCGCCTTCTGCTGGTACGGTGGCGGCTGTCACGGGGTCATATTGAATGTAGATCTTGCCTTTCGGGGTCCCCTCCCGATTATTTTCCTCAGCCGGAGAGTAGGGTATAATTATTGCGTCATTTCGTCCAAGGATGCTGGTCAACAGATCTTTGATCTTGTTTACTTCGTATGGATAGTTAATGTCGTCGCTGGCCGGGTTGATAGCGAAATCCCTATACGGCGTAATGATGAACGCACGTACTTTGTTCTCTGCAATGTTTTCGAAGCCTTCGCCGGGCACAGTGAATACTGTAAGACCGTGGGGAAACACCGGACTACCATTTCGGAGAACATCCAATACATCACTTTGGAAAAGCTGTGGCTGTTCCATGGAAGGTTTTTCCCAGATGTGGGTAAGAAACATGCGTTTGCGGGAGATGACCACGACGGATGTGCAACCCCATAGGTTGACCAGGTGCCAATCGTCCGCTGTATCTTCCAGTGGGAACGTCAGCCCCGTCGTTCCTCGGCCCTGTTCAAGAGAGCCGTAAGGGTTAAGGCTATCGTCGATCTGATCAAGGAGCCATGCCCCAACATCACCTGGCAGAGTTAGTCGACGTCAGTGGAAGCTGAGTATTACACATGGGCGATGCATGTCAGTAGCTTCCAATAGCTTTAACAGGATACAGCCAGCTATGAGACAAGTCACATACCGTTGTGTTCAGGCCCATAAGGGCTCGAAAGACTTCGCTTCGAGACATGACTAGTAGGGTGGCCGGTTTCCACTGGTGCAAGCCCTTCCGCGCTCAACTGAGGGTTGCGGAAGTGCGATACAGCAATGGTCGTGGTTGACGAGATAGCAATGCTCTCAAAAGCTGTGGGAAATTCGGTCGGTGCAGGTACGCTAGTCGCCAGTCTTCGCACCTTTCCATTACAGTTGTCGCAGTCGGGGGCACATCTCTGTCTAATAGCCGTTGTTGTAGACGTAACCGTGGATGAAGAAGTGGAACCAGTAACATCGCATTTAGTGATGGGTGCACCGCAGACTGTGGTGCAGACATCACCTTGCGCCCGCTTGTTTGGCCCTCCTTTGGTCGTAGTTGCAGTCGCCGTACATGCAATGTTGCAGTTGCTAACGGTCGTTAAAGTGCATGTAGAGGAGGAAGTCTGCGTAGGTTCTTCAGTCTCAGATACTGAGTCAGATGGCTCGGAGGCTTCGTCCGGAACCACTTCGTTGAGAGCGTCGAGCAACGGCTTGAGGTCGTCTTGTAAGCCCTTGACAGTGTTCACTGCGGCCGTAGTCCCACCGATCACTGCATCTTTCACCTTGTTAGTTGTGTCTATGACACAGTTGACGAGCGAGAATGCTGTCTTGAACAACCCGCCGAGTAAATCGCGCTCACTGAGAACATCGTGCAATTCATGGTCTCGTTCGCTTCTTCGACGTTTTCCAGACCCACATGGCTCAACTCCGTCTGTTGGCTTTGGTAACTTGGCCAAGAAGCCAACTGCGTGGGGTAGGATGTTGTTCAGCTCGTCTGTCACGTCGGTGACATGAGCGACAGGATCTTCTATCCAGTTTTGAAGAATGGGGAAAACGCCCACGATGGCTATGGATAGATCCGACGCACTCGACTGGACTTCGGTTCCAGTGGGTACCAAGGTAGTTACTGGCAAAGGAGGAATGGTGATTCCGGGAGGAAGTACTAGGCTGTCTGATGTTGCGAGTATTGTTGAGGCAGTGTTGGACGCTGAACTGACTACAGTAGGCTGTACGGTTGGAAAGATGCTTGTCTCACCACTGGTTGTAACTCCCGTAACAGAACTTGATATATTCGTCAGATTGCTAGCACTGGATACCGCTGGTGAAAATGTGGCAGTACTCGACGAGACTGAAGATGGAGTGTAAGACGAAGTGATAGACGAGACTAAAGGGGGGCCGGAAGGTTGGGTAGAAGTAGTAAGTCCTCTAGTTGAGGCATTCGATGAAGATGCAATTGTGCTGGTATACACGACGGTATCGTTCATCTGCGTCGCCAAGGAGAGACTAGTGAACGAAAGGCTCGAGGAAGCCGTCGTATGTGGTCCATCGAGTGGAGTGGAAGGTTTGACGATAGTGGTGCTTGTACTGTTGGCTGGTACCGGAAATGGGGCCTGAATCTGGATGATCACGCTGCTGCTTCCGGTACCCGTACTGATCTGTGCCTCGATGAATGCCGAATGGGAGAAAAGTAAAGCGAATGCACAACCGCGGTGTAGGAGTTTCATGACGACGTAGTGATGCAGGAAGAATGGAACGATGGGGGGAGTACTTTGAAATCTCCTAGAATCATGATCTTCGTTCAGCTTTATGTGTCATCTGGATGGTCAGCGTGCTTGCGCTTCCATCCACCTACAGTCCAATTTAGATATTCTTGCACTGCCATGCGGCATGCTTCTTTGCATACGCTCCGTGTAGTAATTTCCTACATGGCCGAAGCGCTTGCAAAGGATTGTCGTTGATGTTCTAAAATCGGGACTCAGGACACGTATTCTGCACCGCGAAGCAGCGGTATTGCGAAGGTGCGATGTTGTCAGATTGGGTAGCGAATCCAAGCAAAAAAAAGAGACGGATGTTTGGTCCCCGAAGAGGTTTTGGCCCGTGGCGTAGCGTTATACTCTGTCTACACCAGACGCTGATGGCCATGTGGGCTGATTTGACGATGCAATTCACCATGTTTGTGACTTGTCTGACGTTGCTGTACCCCGGCGGAATGGCAGGTGTACTTCGAATGCAAAATCACTAGATAAAGTGGTAGAGTTTTAGGGGAAGGAGATATCGATGTCGAACGGAAGGAAGCGATTGGAAGGTGATGAGGGTAAGTGCGACTGCCACTTACATGGCCGCACGGACGACCACGAGTCCGGCGCTAACCCCATGGCGACCCCAGACGGCCACCCATCGTCTCTGGGTAGTATCTGAAACAGTACGCCGCATACGCCGCATACGCCGCATGATGACGGCAATCCTACGGGGGGCCAGTCAGATGTATTCATATCGCGATCGCGACTGAACGAGTAATCGAAACCGTCGCTTGATCTCACCACCCCGCTACGTTCCTCACATGTGCACACTGTGCACCACCACCTGATTTCACCATGCCGCCGCATGCCGCATGTGCTGTTACCAAGAACTCGAAAAAGACCCATACTACCCAGTATTTCTGCAGTCGTGCGAGGATAATGACGCAGCTATTGCCTTAAAACTTGTACCGGATCGCGAGCTTGGGATGTTGACATATAGTCTCAACCGAGCTGTTGAACGCGGACATCTCGCCTTAGCCAGCCAGCTACTTGGAGTAGGTGCCAAATGGGATACGCGCACAGTGCATCTTGCATCCAGATCCCACGAAACGGTGAAGTGGTTGATAGAGTCTGGTTACGACGTCAATACCAGCGTAGCCCGCGGTAATACTCTCCTCCTGTAAGTCTGCACGGTAACTGCAACTGCATTAACTAGCTTATTGGGATTAGATTCGTTGTTCAAGAAAACGACGAACCGAGCATTCGACTGCTCCTCAAACTAGGAGCGAACCCCAACCTCGGGCCACCGAAGAAGATAACAGCGCCACAGATGAATATGCGTCCCATATCCAACTGTGGCCACACACTCAATAGCGCAGCCGCAAACTGTAGCCCAGAGATATTCGCTCTTTTGCTCGCTCATGGTGCTGTGCTATCCAACTCTACACCGCTCCACCGTGCAGCGGGTAGTACAAGCGACAACAGAATTCCAATGCTTGAGTACCTTGTCGGAGAGCTAAGCCTCGACATCCACAGTATGGACAGTGGACCACCTATTCCAGACGAATGTTGCGGACGCGAAGGCACACCACTACACTGTGCTCTCCGCCGGAAGCGATACGAGACGGCTAAATGGCTACTGGAGCATGGTGCCAACCCCGACAAAGGCGACTCGTTCGGGACGCCAGCAAGAGCATTGATGAGGCGCCTCCCTGATGACAACGAGCTTGTGGTTCTGCTTCGAGAGCATCGAAAGAACACTAAGTCCATCGCGCACTTCTGAGGAACAAGTTGGACTGCGGGAGCCAGATGTATGTATCGTTGAGTCGATGAAGTTGTACCAAGTAAACTTACTAGTACCCTGCTACGCACATTTGACACGTTTCCTACCCTCCCCATCTTTTCCATTCTCATCATCACAGTCCTCAAACTTCCTCTTAACCCCCCTCAAAACCAAACACCTCACCTCAGGCGCCACACCCCCATCCCCACCCACCACCACCCCCCTACCCCAAGCCCTCTCAAATCTCCACCCCTCTCTAAACACCACCATCCCCTCCCCCTCATTCCCCCTCCCACTCGGCCACCCCTCCTTCTCCCACCTCTCACTCGGCACCTCACACCCCTCCCTCAACCCCTGTACCACCCTCTCCCACCTCGAAACCGTAGCCGCATACACACTCGTACCCCTAGTCTGCATATCCCCAACAATCTCCCTGTACTTCGCCTTATCAGCTACCAACCGCCTCACCCACCCTTTATCCGCTTCCACCGCCCCGAAGAATGCACAACTGGAAGCATAGGGACGTAGAAGGGGACATGTGGCACCGCAAGATCCGCAGGTGGAAAGGGGGCTGCAGGTGATGCAGTAGGCGCCGAGGGTGCGGTATAGGTGGTGCATGTGCGTGCGGGTTATGAGGGAGTGTTTTATGATAGAGAGGGAGTGGTGGAGAGCAGAGATGCGGAGGAGCATTTGGGGTGTTGCACGGGGTTGGCGCTTAGGCTTAGGTAGAAGGGAGGAAGGGAGCATGTCGAGCCATGATGCGTGGGTTCCTGTTGGTAGGGCGACTAGGGCGGGTGGCATGGCTGTGTCTATGGGTGGTGAGCTATTTCCGCTCTGTCTGAAAGAGGAGATTATCAGTCGATAGTGATGTATTAATACTAAGGCCTAAACGGTAGTATGTGTTACGCCTGAGAGTACTACAGTGTAGTGTGAAAGTTTGGACCAGAGGAACAATACATTGTGTCAAGGCTACAATGGCTCACTTCGAGAACATAACAGTCTTATCTAGCTGTCGCGACAGTAACGAAGAAACGTGGGGGGAAGATGTACAGTGTAGCAAACGATTGCGTTGTGGAATCGCGTTTGAGATCGAGCACGTGTTGGTGAACAGCGTGCTGCTAATCTTGAAGTGATGTGTTCGGTTGTGGGCGAGATGGTGATTGTATCTGCTACATGACTGACCTTCGTACTCATCTCCTTCATTCACCTCCTTCATCCTCCTGCAACATCTACAACAACGCGGTAGGAACCTTCTTCTCTCCCAATATCTGATCAAAAGTCGTCGGAACATGGCGTTGCTGTCGCTCCACTTCTTGGTTTCCCATCTTTTCTTCTCGCTCCTCTTCGGCTGCTCGATGGCTTCGCTGGTCTTGGGCAGGTAGTTGCGGTTGAGACGAGTTGACCGGCTCTGAACCAGCCACGGGGCTAAGCGGGATGTCTTCAAAATCAGGCGAGTTGGAGAGCTTGCTGAGGCTAAACGAGAGCTCACTGGGTGTTTCATCGAAGCTAAAGCGGGGTAAGATGGGTGGCGTGCTTCCAATGATCCGGATAGCTGGCACCATAGAAGAAGTCTTCGCGCGGACGTGGGTGCTCTGCGTCGCACTGTTGTGTCTCTCAGTCGTAGACCTTTTCTCTTTCGTACTGTTGCGCTTCACAGCAGCTTTGCGACTCAACCTCACGGGGTTACTACGAGGGCCGAGTACAGAGTCATGGTCCTTAGCGTTGTCGAGTGGTGCATCCATAACGGTGTCTGTAGTTCTTTCGATGCTAAAACCCTCGTATGTTCCCTCTAGCCGTGCAGGAGCACTTCGGTGCTTTTCAGCTTCCGTATGTGAAGACCATTTCTGTTGGACGCCCGCGCTTGACGGTAGACAGGTGATGCGCTGCTCATACCTATTGTCGTTCACGAACCGATCGTACCGCAGTTCAATATTGCGGTCACTATTCCACCTTAGAAAATCTTCGAAAGGCATCACGCTCTTCTGAAGTGGTATTTCTCTTGATGCCATGTCGATATGATGTGGGTATTAGTCGACGGTAGTAGCGGGAATGAATCGGATTGCTCATTACGGTCGCCCAGCTCTTCAAATCGACACGTTGTTTGCGTACGAGAGACATCGTGAAGATATGGTGTTTTCCAGAAGTTTGCGCAACATCGCGAACAGTGTGTGACTTTCGAGATTCGTCGCGCATCTTCGAGAGTCGTACAGAGGAGTTATGCGAGGTCCTCAGTGTCCGTGATGGATATTCCGTCAGGTCCAAGGTGAGAGCAAACGGTATCGCGCCTTTCAAGCCTCTTTCTCCTCTCGCATCCTCTTGACCTCCGCTTCTACCCCCTCCACACTCATCGGCACCTTCCCTCCCTCCCACCTCTCCTTCTCACTCCTCACCCACCCCTCCAAGCTCAACAGCCCCACACAAAGGAAACCCAGTACCTCTCTATCCGTATCAAACACCTCCCACCACTCACACTCGGGCATCTTAATCCCCGTCTCCCTCGCCGCAAGATAAATCCCCGCCGTCGCCAACTCATGCGGCTGGTGCGTCAGGTAAAGGCACTGCGGACTCAAGAGCGCGGTATTGAGATGCGCGATTGCGCGTTTCGCGAGTTCAGAGGCGCGCGGGTGGCTGAAGATGTCGAGGGCTTGCATGTATGTTATGCATAGTGTGTAGGGGAGTTGGACGTGCGTGTTGAAGCCGAGGGTACGTAGGATGCGTTGTTCGGTTGTAAACAGCGTTGCGCGACGGCGCTCGTATGTCCCCTCGCTGACGTAGTATCCCTTTGCATCTTCGCCCGTTTTCTGAAGCTGTTCAAGATCGAAGTATGTCACCGGCAGCGAATCGAGATACGCGTACACGTTTACGAGACTACGCGCTGACTTTGGATATGCGGAGAGCTTCGTGGTAAGGTACAACGACGCGGCTGAGACTTGTTCTGCGCCGAATTCCGCGAGACTGCCGCCTTCAGAGCCGAGCCAGAAGCGCATGAAGACTACGATGGCTTGCGCGATTACTTCTTGTGGGAGGCGGAGCAGGATACCGGCGGCTTGTGTGAGGCGCGCGCCGGCGAAGCGGACGGAGTCTTCGAGCGTGGGTTGGATGCCATCGAGTTGCGAGCCGGAGGTTTCGAGTTGGGCGACGGTTGCCAATGGGTTTGCGAGAGGTGAGGGCTGCATTTTGGAAGAGTTGACGCGGTGTGGGAGTGAGCGCGACGGCGTTGTGGTGGTGTGGGAGCTTTTGCGCGGAAAGACGTTGGGGATGATGCTGTGGAGCTGGTGGACTTGCGATGGGTGAGCCTCGGTACACTAACCGTCATCTTTCTTAGTCAACGACCTCAACTCCACACACGGCAGAGACATGTTACAAAGTTCCATTTCGCGATCTTGGACTATTGGAGCTCCTGGAGAAGCACATCTACCCCCGATATATTCGTTGCAGTCTGGCAAACTTCCATCAAGAAACCGTCTCCTTAGCTCAATTGGGAGAGCGCCAGACTGAAGTCATCAGTCACTAAATCTGGAGGTATCGTGTTCGATCCACGAAGGGGACAATCACCGTGCTTGAGCCTGCTCAAGATCTTTCGAACTATTCTTTTTGCCAATCTTTTGCTCTTCCAACGGGCTTCACCGCTCAGTAGACGATCAGGGTACAGGGTTGAAGGGGGGCTGGGAGAGTAGGTCCGTTACCCCTCTCTGCTCACTGCCTCATTTTTTTGTACATATCAAGCGAGAGGACAAGCGAAGGTGACAGCCATTGCGCTGGTGCCACGTACTCTGCATACGCCTCACGATGACGAGGTGGATCTCAGGATCTCCTTTGACTTACTTGCTCGGGGAGGTGGTTACGCTTAAGATGGGGAGTTGAGGGGCGATGGCGTAGGCACTCCAATCGAGGAAGCAGATGGATACTCGCTATGTTTCCTTACCTGCACGTTTGACCCTAGTGTAGGCTGCAGAACTTCTCAGTCACTTCTTGGTGTGAGGCGTAGATGCCTAGGTAGCCTTATGGATGTCTTGGCTTCGCACACATAGTTGGGCTGATATTCAAACACGATGTCTAAATTATCAAACATGTTAGGCAAGTATTTGATAGAAGTGTTTCAAATCACTGCGCTGCAGTGGGCCTGTTATCAATCAACAATACAGCATTTCGAATTGGATTGGTGTAAACACTGTCAAATGATCTGCAGCAATAGGATGACGTGGATAGCAATATCATTACTGTACTCTACGACAAACAACTTTTTGACCTTTCCCCAACTCCCGCTAAACTACATCACATTACATCACCAATAGCAAAACAATCTCAAACACTTTTGAAGTTGAACAAAAAGAGTACAATAGCATTAACACAATAAAAATAACTGATTAAACGAGGGCGTAAAGGGTGGGTATCTTGCCGGCTAAATGCTATCCAAAAACCGCTAATCAACACGACTAATACACACAAAAGAAAAAGAACCCTTCGCGGCTTTTCGCTCGCGAAAGATAAAAAGGAGGGAGAAGGGTAACTCTAAACATTCCCAAAGCTCAAAATGACCAACCCAATAACCGAGAGAAAAAAACAACAATCCGATGTATAAATCCCAAAAACGCAAAGCCCAGAAAATAGATGCTGAGTGAAGAAGAGGAAGCGTGACGACTAGAAGGAGATGTAAAACCCAGATCGAAAGCAAAAAAAAAAACGCCGGTCGTTATGTGTGCAATAGAATGCGATATGATCTAGTCGATACCAATCATGGTACCATCGCACCTCCAGTCATCCACTTCGACATCCCGGGCAGCTGTGTTGGTAGCTTCGGGGTCGATTTGGACATGAGTGAGCCATGTGCCGACACGGTTCTGGCCAACCTTGCGGCCATCGCGAGAGAGACCGGCCATGGTGGAGGAGGTGACGACAGGTGTGGATGCGGGTCGGACGCGAGGGGCGGCAACGGGTGCAGGGGCGGGCGCAGCGCGGCGTGTACTGCTGCTGCTGGTGAAGAACGCGCCACGTGGGGTTGACGTGCGTGGAGTGGATGTGCGGGCTGCGGTGCGCGCGACGGATGCGGGCATGGAGCGGATGGCGTACGAGTCGTTCATGTGGTGGCCACCTGCGTTGCCGACGCCGTACATTTGCACCTCGGGTTCAGTGCGGCGGATGGAGGAGACGGTGGGCGTGGGGTTGAGGTGCAGTGAGTCGCGGAGGTGAGCGGACAGGCGGCGGGATTCGGGTCGGGGGAGGTCACGTTCGCTGCGGTTGCGTGGGGTGCGGACGCTGGGGCGGCGGGCGAGGGGTGGCGAGGGCTCGTTGGGGATTTCGATGACTTCAACATCGGCGTAGCGGGCTTGCTGCGGGTAGGGGACGCGCATGTCGTTGAGCTGGTCGCCATCGGGGATGTGTTGGTAGTTGAACCAGGGGCAGCTGCATGTCTTCCATGGGGCGGCGCAGACCATGCAGAATTGTGCTGTGCAGCGGCTGGGATGTTGTTAGATGTTGTTGCATGTGCATGATATAATGAACGTACCAGGTCATGTGATTGCAACCTTCCTTCAGCTCGACTACAGCCTTGCAGCTGTAGCATCGTTGCCAGCCCTTCTCCTTGGCCATCTCTACCAGGCGGTTGGTCTCCTCGTCCTTGGGGCATTCGCGCTTCGTGTGGAACTTGCTGTTGCAGAGTACGCAGACCTTGGTGTTGCACGTGCTGCAGCGTGCGTACTTGCGTCCGTATGTCGGGTCCATCTTGATCTTGGAAGGTTTGATCCACTGGCCACACCCTTTCGTGGGGCAGTATAGGCGGTTGGCAGTCGTGTACTCTTGGAACTTCCGGTTCCATTGGACCTTGAACTTGTCATCGAAGAGGCGGTCGGCATACTTCAATGGGATGTGCTCTGAGGTGCAGCATCGTGGTGGCATGTGAGCAGGGTCCTTTACGGAAAGGGTGAATTGGCGCTTGAGGCACGAGTAGCACATGCGATGGCCACATGCGAGCTTGACGGTCTTGGTGATGGGCAGGTCATCGTTCATGCACACGAGACAGTCGACCCTAATTGAGGTTAGCTTTGTAGAGGTAACGTGACGGGGATACTAACGTTTTCTCTTCAGCCTTGCGCGAAGGCGTTCGCGAAACTGGAGGCGCCGCCTTGGAGAAGAAGCTTGACAAGATGCCCCCGGTGCTCCGACGGGCAGCATCCTTGACCGACTGCGTCCTGGTGAGTGGCGTTGGGGGAGGCGACTTGACAGTGTTGCTGCGTCGTACTGTCGGCCTGGGCTCTCGTTCTCTGGCCGAAGTATGTGCTTTTGGCTCGCGTGTAGATGAATTCCTGGCCCTCATTAGCTGAGCTACGTGTACAAGTGGAGACGAGACTAACCTGGTCAATGGCGGAACTTCGACCCTGCGGACTGACGCAGATCCAGAACCTGAATGCGGAGTGTAGGCAGTCCTGCTAGAAGAGCCGCCTTCCTCGCTTCTCTTGCGCCCAGATGCTCGTCGCACAGGGACTTCCTCAACGTGACCCATGGACTTGGGGCGGCCAAAGACGAAGTCGTCGTGGTCATCAGGTATTACTGCTCTCTTGGGCTTCCGCGTGCTGTCCCGTCGCACCTCCTTCTCACGGCTGCTCCGTGGTTTCTCCTTGGCCGGTGCGCGTTTGCTGTCTGATACCACGCGATCGCGGTCGCGCCTCTTCTCAGCCTCGTTGCGTGAGTAGTACGACTCTCTGCGCGCTCTAATATCCTCAATGTCGACCTCGGCCTGTCTCCTTGCCTCCTCTGCCCGTCGGCGCTCTCTCCTTTCGCGTGTGGAAGCTGTGGGTTCGTCGTCGTGGTCGCGAGATTTGTGGCGGCGCCGGTGCCTCCGCTCTCGTTCGTCGAGATATTCGCCGTCGTCACGGTGTCGTGTGGCCCGGTCATCGCGTCCTCTCGCCATGCCCAGCCAGGGCATGCGGGCGGTATTTTATCTGCCTTCTGCCAGCCGCGCAGGTCACAGGCTCATTCACGCTCTCGCAAAACTTCAGGACGCTGTGCAGGCGACGCACAAAAGCGAACGGGTGTGTGGAGAGTTGCGGTGGGCGTGACGAGCGAACAGCAAGCACCTGCAGGCAGCCCAAGCCGGATCAGACCAAAGTCGGCCAGTCGCACGGGGCAAGCCGCCAGCGGTGTGCGCGCACTGGGTGCCTGTTGATCGAAAGCGTCGGCAGGGCTCTCGCTAAGGCTTTTAGTCGGCCCAGGGGCCGTCGTCAGGCGTCGATGCCAGCTGTCTCACACGCGCAGATGATGTCGTTTTTCCGCAGCAAACCTGCCATCGGAACCAGCGGGTGCACTGCTCTCATGCAGCGTTGCGCTGCCGCAAAAGTATGTTCGTAGTGGACCAACTTTCTGGCGTCGCACTGCTTTTTGGGGCAACGTTCGGGCTGCGGTTGAGTCTTAGTGAGATGATCCCGCCACAGGGGTTCGAAGATTTATTGCAGAATCTAATCGCGGATATGCAACGGCGCCCAGCGTCCTCAGTCCTTCTCGAGTGTAATTTGGGTCGAAATTTCCCATCTGTGCCCGCCGCTCCCGTATCCGCCGCCCAAGCGGTTCCGCACCATACTGCCAATGCGATCGCGCAGGCGCCCAATTTCTTCCAAATTCCGCACTCGTAGTTTGAGGTTCGCCTGGCAGAGGCCGTAGTGTACCTGCCAGAACTTTGCCTCTTCGACCGCCCTGATGGCTGGGTCCGTCTCGAGGTCGTACATAATGTCCGAAACGCCGGGCCCCGAGTAGGACATGAGCAGCATCTTCCCCAGCGTCCATCCCTGAATCCACCCCAGCGCTACCATGGAGAACGCTACTGAAAATGAAAGGGTCCGATCAAGCCACACGTACATCTGAATGCTCAGCAAAGGCAGCAGCAGGAGCAGTGTCGAGCACGATAATGTCAGAAAATGCGAAGGGTTGCTCAGCACGGAGGGTAGGTTAGCGATGGCGCTCAGCCTCATGACCTTGCCGATGCGCGCATGGTTCTTCAGCAGGATTGCCGAGACGAGTGTCGAGACAATGCCACACAAGGCAGCAAGATCAATGCTGCCAGGCGATACTCGTTCATGCGTGTCTGCATGATGCGCCTCGTGTCCTCCACTGTTCTCGAGCGCGTGCGTCAAGCCATGCGATATGAGGTCCAGTCCCATGAACAGCAGCCCAACAGACATGCCTAGTCCTGCGATAACCTCTAGACGCTCAAAGCCAAACGGGTGTCGTATGCTTGATCGCTTCCATACCTCGAAGTTGGATCCAACGTCAACGGCCACACACAGGAATGCGCCGAGCGCATCGTAGAAGATCAGTCGCGACAACACTGTGAGAGCCAGGGATTCGTGCGCGCCCCACTGCACGAGACCAGCGACTACCAAATGGCAGAAACACCATGCCAGCCTCAACTTCTGATCCTTGGACATGGACGAACGATACTCTTTGAAGGTCGGGATCGGGAGCGAGGCGGGGAGCTGGAGCGGGGCGCGCGGTGCGGGTTCTAGGAAGATCTGATGCGATACACTACTGTGCTTGTACTTGTGTCCTCGTCGTCGGCCGATATCCTGCGAAAGTTAGTATAAGCGCGTCGGGTTATATAGAAGAACGCACATTGGCCTTTGTTTGAGGTCGACCAGGCTGGTAGGCGATAGATTGGAAGTTGAAGGGATTGGGGTTCTCGGACCCACTCATAGAGGGCGCGTCGAGATCCATGGTTCCACTGGCAGCACTCGCTGGTGTTTGTGGAAAGGTCGCGCTCGCGGGTGTATACAGAGTCGCCGGCGACGCCCGCTGCGAAACTGAGTCACTGGGTCCGAGAGTCGCATACTGCTTCGAAGGAAACGTAGCCGACATGGGCGACAGCAGCGCATTGTTGTTAGGCCCCATATCGCCCATAGCCAGATCGCTTCGGAATCCTAGTCCTACGGGCTGGGGCGCGTTCTCGTCAGGAGGCGGCGTTGGGGTCCGTGGTGGAGCTGGCAGCGGCATTTTCGAGGCCATGACGGTGGTAAATGAGTGACGGTAATGAGTGACGGTTAGCGAAAGCGCAATCCAGGCTTAACGAGATAACCAGCGCAGTTGAACCCCGGACGGGAGGTGGAGGGGAAATTGAGGGAGGCCTTCTGTATGCGGCGGCCCATACTCGGTGAATCGACCAATCCGGCCCCGACTAGCCCGCATGCAAGGGAACCTACCCTTGGTACCCTAGAGCGCAACATGACGCTGACGTTGACGGTCTGGCTCCGAAACATGACACTTGATTCACCACCTCGGTCATCCATGGCTGTTGACGCACGTGGGAACCATGCCAGACGGAAACGGTGCGCGCGATGAGGGTCGTGCTGAGGGAGCGGATGTGAAGCACGAGGCGGACGGCGCGTCTAGCCATAGACGCAGCAAGTCGGGAGGCATACTGGGCGCCTTTCTCAGGTCCTCCATGGATGCCATGGGGAAGGCGCCATCGACACAACTAGGCAACGACGAGGAGCACGATCAGGATGCGGAAGGTGCGAAGAGAGCGTCCTCCATCGCGACTGCCCTGCGCCAGAGCCAAGGGAGGCAGCGAAAGGGATCCCTTAGGAAAGCCGCCATGGCCAAGATGCGTGAACGGAGCAGCTCTCTGCGCAAGGCCAAAACACCCACAATCACCACCACCACGAGCTTAGACCCCTCGGACGAAGGCTCGGCTCCAGGCCGCTTCAGCTACGAAAACGCTCCCCTCAACTCTTCGTCCGACAGTGGATGGCTACCCGCTGCCCGTCTGTCCCCGTCGTCACCCGCGCTTATTTACACCCCACCCGATGGCCCTGAACGGCCTGCTCCTTCACTACTTGCATCACCCATGACGAGCCCGGTCGCGCCTTACGCTTCGACTACCGACGAAGACGACACCATGTCCTTCTACCGCCCCTCTCCCGCCGGCAATGACTTCTCCTTCAGTGGTGCCAACCAGGGCTCTGCGACATCTCTTGCACACCGCCGTTCAACTCGGAGCAACCGACGCACTTCCATCTCGGCAGTCCTGACACCTGCCGAGGCTGACCCCGATGATGAGTGGGATTACAGCGAGACGGAGTGGTGGGGCTGGGTCGTGCTCATAGCAACGTGGATTGTTTTCGTCGTCGGCATGGGCTCTTGCCTCGGAATCTGGAGCTGGGCTTGGGACGTGGGCGAGACACCGTATGCTCCACCCGATTTGGAAGACGACGCAACCCTGCCCATTACGGGCTACTATCCCGCATTGATCGTTTGCACGGCAGTCACGAGCTGGGTGTGGGTTGTCGTGGCCTGGGTTGGCATGAAGTATTTCCGCCACGCCAAAGTAGGCGTAGACGGCTAGTAGCCTCCAGAAGCAACGCACCAAAATAATCACCCACCACCGATCGCATGAACGTACCAAGGTCCTGGGAACGCCTTCTCTATTCTAGTGCTTTCGCTTAAGCGTTCCGCTATGCGCAATATCTTCTTGGGCTGAAACACTAAGCTATAATACCTCTGTTAAGACACATCATAGCCTCGCTATACCGCACTCTACGGTAATACAATTACTTCTTCTGCTATTGTTTCTTCGATACTCGCCCTAATAACTGCAGCTACCATCTCAAATATTGGAACGGCTGACAGAACAGCTGACAGTTTTGGCAGAATAAAAGCCGACGATGCCGCTTCTTTCCCGCATTGCTTGTCGTGATTCAACGGCTTGGACCACAATCTCCGCGCCCGGCTCCTCCTCTCCACCTCAATCCTGCGACCCCGTCACTCGGTAACCAGGGCCGTACTGAACATGGTGCGAACACCTCGACGACACGGTATCACCCTGCAACCTCCGATCCTGCAGGACCTGCAGCGCGGGAGCCAGGGTCCCACATGTTGGTGCAATTTTGACAGTAGTGTAAGATGAAGGCAATTTCCCTGTCCAGGCGACTTCATAAACAAAATGGTCGCCAACATGTGGCTGATAGGAGCAGATTGTATTATGCAATTGGTCTGTGATGGCCGCACCACAACGTCGTCGGGGAGGTTCCATGCTGGAGGAGCTACTACCAAGTTTACTCATCCTCAAGGGCCTGGAGTCTGGGGATATCTCGAAGAAAGACGCCGAGCTCAGTCGCGCGCTTCACGGGGTACAGCATGAACGGCGGCCGAGAACGATACCGCCCCGGAGGCCTCGTCGCGTATCCAACGCAGTGGTGACGCAACGCATCACCAACGGCAGGCCCTTTCGCTTCTTCGAACTACCGCAGGAGATCAGAGATGAAGTCTACTCACACCTCGTCGTGCGCAGGACATCGCGCTCTCTACCCATTCTCGACGCAACGACGATACTCAATGACCGGAAGAAACGCCTGGCCGCACTCAAGTCACGAGAACGACTGAACCAACGGCGACTCTCGACAGGAAAACGTCCGGTATGTCCCAGAACAGCCGAACCAGAGCCACTCCTGCACTTGGAACTCCTCCGCGCGTCTCAGAGATTGGCCGGCGAAGCAACAGACTGCATGTACACCAACAACTGGTTTGCCATCTCCCTCAACAAACTCCCCGTTCCCACCTACGACATCCCACACGGCTGGGACCTTTCACGCGTCAAACGACTACAAGTTGAACTTCAGCTGAAGGACGCTATACGAATGAACCGCTACGTCGACTGGGCTTCTTTCTTCTCTGCCCTCCCTTCTTTGCAGTTTCTCCGCATCGTCCCAACGCTCCATCCCCGGTACTACGAATGGTCGCATCCAGAATTCCATGAGTGGTCCACGACGCCATTCGTCCACAAGGCCTTCTTCCGGGAACTACTAGCTGCTATACCGGCCTATGTAGATCTTAAGATCGGGCTTGCGATGGATAACGCGAGCGATGACGTGCAGATGCAAGGCGAGGTCTTCCTGCATCGGAAGTATCTTTGGGACATGTACGCGGAGTTGGGTAGTAGAGTTGATGGCGCGGGGAGGCGGATCGAAGTGGAAAGGATTGTATCATAGCATGATGATGACGGAGTGTGTTGCATTTACGAAAAGCGATTGTATATTATGGGTCTTATCTATTTTTGCGCGGGAGCCTTGACTTTGCTTTTTTGGTGTTCTTCAAGCGCATGCATTGGTCAACTTTGTCTTTTGGGTACGTCATTGAGCCATTGTTGCGTGGTATGATTTCAGCGCCAACGAGCAGCAGGACACATACGTCGTCTTTATACAATTTTCATTGTAGATTAAAGACATACAGGCTCTTCCACATATCGATTTCATGTGGAGCTTTTTGAGGCGAACTCCAACCATGAAGGAGGCGAGGACCTTTTTGAGGAAGAGAAGAAGAGTATAATGAAAGGATGTATCGTACAATGGTGTGGACGAAGATTTTATATGCGCATGACGACCGACGCGCTAGCATTCTACATGGAAAGTCCACTCCTAGGATTTGGGATTGTGCCGTGGAGAAAACTCGACTTTTTCACCCCATGTACAGTTCATTCGATCGTTTTGGATGTCTCTCATCACAAAATCGGCTAGCGTTTTTGAAGTATTCGTACCGAGATGTGGGTTTCGAAACGAGACGCAGAAGAGACATATCGATCGTCTTGGTGGTTTTGGAGACCCAGGAGCCGCACTCATCGGTCTGATGACATAGTGATTTTGGTAAAAAGAAGGAAGTAGTGTAGTAGTAGTAAGGGAGAGTGCTGGAAGGTGAGGGATATTTATACACGTCGACCCAGGACATCGAGCTCTCTATCCCATTATTTGGGTGATACTGCGCGACAAACACATTACTCGCGGATATTCGAATTTTGGATGTTTCTCCATAGCTCTCCACGTAATGCTTTTGTTTTCATGTATTTTCCGTGGTCGACCTTCACATGCGCAATGTGCAACTTCTTTTGCTCCGCGCCATCATTGCATCGTTCGCAGTTCTCTTTGTTTCGGTGGATGTCGGAAAATGTAAGCATCGCTTGTTGACGAGTAGGTTTGGACGGAGGACTCACATCATGCCTTTGGTCAACATTTTTGGAGAACACCAGATGAGTATAGTGAAGAAGAGGTGGAGGGAAGGTAAACGTTGGAGACTTTATAGCCATTTAGTCTGTCGTGCGCATGATAGCGTGGACCCCGGAAGCTGACAATGGCTCCCTAATCTTGCGAAGTATCAGCCGAAAAAGATTTCCTATAATACACATTCATCTCTTTCCCTCCTCCTAACCTCAAACTTCATCATCGGATCTACAACCTTGTAGACTCCCATCTCCACTGGCTTCGAGACATAACCCTCCTTCACTCCGATATCATACTTATCCAGCACATGCGCCATCGCCATCTTCAATTCATTCCCTGCGAAAAACCTGCCCGGACAGATATGTCTCCCACCGCCAAAAACGCTAAGATCTGGACCTGATTGCACGAATTGGCTAAACTTGTCGCCTGCTTCGCGCTTGCGAAGGAAGCGGTCTGCAACGAATGAGTCGGGGTTGGGGTAGTGCGTAGGAGAGAAGAGCGAGGTGGAGTCGACCATTATGTGTGTGCCTCGCGGGAGTGTGTGTCCGGTTGGGAGTTTGACGTCTTTCAAAGCGACGCGTTCCAGGGCGACTATTCGACATGTCAGCTCTTCTTTCGTACTTAGATCATCCAGAGAGTCGTATGGAGACATGAAGGAAAGGAGGGGGATACATACCCGCGGCCGCACTCCTTCTCTGACTCTCCTTCAAGACACTGTCCATCAGCACCATTCCATTCGTCGCAGCGACCGAGATGCCGTGCTCCGCAATCTGCTTTTGTGATTCTACGCGCAACGGCGCGATAACATCCGGATGTGATGCCACATCGATTAAAACCTGCCTGAACAACTCGCTAGTAGTGAACATGGCCGCCATAGCAAGCGACAGCTGCAAATCGCCCGCTTCCGCTTCCTTGCCTCCTGGAGCAGCCTGTGTCCACGCAAGTGCATCGTTCCAAACGGGTATATCTCTACCTTCTGCCTTCGCTTCTCCAACTCGACGTTTCCTATCTGCGAGGACGTCTCTCATGATTTGCCTCGCGCGGGCGACATGCCTCCGGCATGCAGATGCATTGGGTGAGAAGAATCGCTGGATAATGCGTCGCAACCATGCTGGATACGCATGTAACTCGCCCACTGCAGAGAAATATGCCATGACATATTCCTGCACAAGCTTCAACCACTCCTCGTCCTCACACTTCTCCGGCCCAACAAACACCGATGAAGCAGCGCGCGCGATTATGACCGTTGTATCAGCATGCCAGTTCAGCATCCGCCACTCCCTCTCTTCACCCCAGTGCACACGCAATGCACTATCCAGCTTTCCGTTCAGAACAGGCATAACACTATCGTTCTGGCCTAGCTTCGTCTTGATGATGTCTAGCAACATATCTCCAGACGCGTGTAACACATCCTGAGCTTCGAAACCGGGATATCCCACGTAGAAGTCTTGACGCACTAACTCCCTGTGATCTAGATCTCGGTTCGATTTGACGAAGTTGGCCAGGGAAGCCGAGAGGACAACTTTGTAGGCGTTGGGGAGGGCGAGGGCGAAGGGATTGGCGGGGTGGGTGTTGAGGCCGGTGGTTATTAGGGCGGAGGCATTGTTCGCGTAGTCTTGGTTGGCTTTTCGGCCGAGGAAGTCGTTTGCGTGTGTGTTTAGCACAGGAAAGGGTGGGCGGCGCCGGCGATTCTGGATGTAGATGTAGACGCCGCTGAGGAGCGCCAATAGGGTCCAGATGCGGATGTTGTGGAGGATTTCTACTATCATTGTTTTGGAAGTTGCGATTGTTGGAATAGTCGAAGTTGGAAATGACTATGCTCGTTGCATCCTTTCGATCTCGGACGTTCAGTTTTATACCTGGATATGACCAGATCTTGGCCTATTAGCGCGAAATGACTCATTGTGTATCATCCTGAGTGTGTAAATAGTCACGCATATACAGGGGCGACTGAGGTCTGGTATCTATCAATACCAGTCAATGAAGTAGTTCAGAGTGACCCGCCGCTCCCGCAAAGTATCAGCCAAGAATGATTCTCACGGGCTCCGTGCAATTTGCCTCCCAGACGACTTTTGGTACACGTCCAGCTGCCTTCCGATACACGATCTCGCCCTTGCGTTCAATCCAAAGAACATTGTAGAAGTGGTATTCCCAGCCAGATATGCTTTGCACCCCGTATTTCTTCACTTCGCTCATCAGTTCTAGGGATCGTTTAGCGCTGCATTCCTTGAGTTGTGCGTGTCGAGGCTGCATCAATATTTTCAGACTGTATCCCACTTACCCAAATATTCAGAAGAGAATTTCATGTCGATCTTTGATATCATCTCCTGTTTGAACAAAGGTCCGCTATCACCTCCAATGTTCCGGAGGTGTTCCGACCGTATAGTCTCGGTGGACAAAGCGATCAGCTCAAGCGCGTCGCCGGGCTCAGCCCTATCACGGTTCATATGGCGCAGTACGCCTGCTTGGTTCCCTCTTTTGTCTTCAAGGCATATGAGATGACACGTGTCAGAGTCTGCTGGCTCACCAGCAAATTGACGAAATTCGAATACCGATGGACCCATCCAGCAAGGACCAATACCAGCAGGGCTCCTTTTTTGAGGACAGCTTTGAGACGGAGTGAAGCCGTACTTGTTTTGCATGAGAGGAATGGCCAGTCTCTTCCAAGTTGCAACGCAGAACGTGAAGCTTGGTAAGAAGATACGGACAAATGGTGCGAGCTCGGGGCCGTGTTTGTATCTACGGATCCGGCACTTTTGCCTTCTCTCCATGATTCGTATTTGCTTTGATGAAACGATCGTTGTGTGCCAGTGAACATGGCACTTTTATCGAGAGCAGCTTCTGGGCGCATGATGAGGGAATCAAATTCGTCAACGCGCCACGTGTGCTGCATATCTTCGGACAAAGCATACCACGGCACAAGTCTGTGTGTTTGCCAAGTTGATGGAGTAGCATTGGTGGTATGCTCCCCGGAAGAGTCTTCCTTCAAGTAGTCAAACTTCGAACGGAGGTTGTGAGGATCTACTGGGCATTGCCAACCGCACCATGACCAGGATGGTAGACCTCTTCTTGGTGCGATACTACCTCCATCCCTGGCCACTCTACGACTCGCTATACTGTAGGGCTGCCATAATAGTCCGAGATCTAGGAATGTACAGGGAAGGCCATTGATGAAACCAGAAGTGAAGGTACGCTTCAGTGTACTTAACACTCCAGATATCGCCGGTAGCGCGTCTTGCGGGTAAGTCAGGTCGCGACTGTTATACAAGCTAATCATCTCGATGTACATGTTGAGATCTGGCTGAGACATGGTAGACATTCGCCGAGCGGTCTCATAGTACGGTCTGGTCAATGTAGTATCCGGAGCAGATTCTGGGGTGAGGTAGTCCCTATTCCAGACGCATCTCTGGCAATCCCAGAATACTTCTCCGTCAAGGAAGATAATTACTCTCTTGGAGAGCATTTGTTCTTGGAAGGTCCATCCACGAGAGGCCCACTTGGTCTTGAAAAGCTTCTCATAAAGTTGGGTAGTAGAGTCCAGGCTACGACATCTTGTGGATTTGCGGGTATTTAGGCGTCCCGCAGTGGAAGCAGCAATTATAGTTAGGTATGCGCCAGCGTATACCTCACCCATATTGTCGACCTGATCGCGTGTTTTGTCACTGTCCTGCACAATACATGGGCAATCAACCCAAAGGTATCTTTCCCCGTACTTCTGCACAAGAACAATCGCGTCTTTCACTGCATAGGGAAGACGTGCGAGTGCATCCCCTTGTAGCCTTTGCGCGTGTCTGTCGGTTCTGAAGAAGTCTGCCTTGTGCGCCTCCGTCCAAGCCCCCCGACCAGACTGGGGTCCTTACATCTTAACCCATGGGATCTGGCGATCTTTAGGACTTCCCGAAAGCTTTCTCCAACGAAGCATATTGCATATGGATCCCATTTCCGTCGCGCTTGGCTGCATCGCTCTCTTACCACCGATCGCAAAAGCTTATAATTCGATCGGTATATTTGTGCTCGAGATACGAGATGCGGGGAAAGAGATGATCATGGTCCAGACGGAGCTCGCCTCACTGGAATCCGTCTTAGAGATTCTGGCTCAGGACATGGGAAGTTGCCCGGAGAACGTATTCCCCACAATACTTGTGGAGAATATCAAAAGCATCATTGCGGATTGCGAGCTTGCCGTGACCCAGATCGAGCAGTGTATTGCTGCTCACACAAACGACAAATCGACAAAAAGCGCCAAATGGGCGCTGTTTGGACGAGACAACATGTTGAAGTACAAGTCGATCTTGCACACGCATCAGATGGCCCTGAACATGGCCATCGAGACGCTCAACATGTATGTCCCCAGCATACGCAACTGGTAATATGAAGGGTTCTAATAATGGCTTAGATCAGTCAGCAAAGATATCAAGGTTAACACGGCAAATCTACTCATTGATACTTCCGAAATCAAGGAGGACACATCACAGATACTCCAGGCGATCGCAAAACTCCAAGCAAGCCTACCAGATCAAGGCCGCGATGGTACTCATTTTATCTTGCAAAGATATCTCGACAGCCTTACTAGCTACGCAGAAAGCTCATTTGGTCGTGGATCTACTCAGAATCTTGAGGATGAATCCTCAAAACCATCGCCCTTCGAAGAAAAGCTCGCTCTCATTGACGACGACCCTCCACTACATCTTGCAACATCTTCTTCTGCTAAACAAAGCTCTCATCCTTCCGCGTCGACTTACGGGTCAGGGCCCTCTCGCCAACCTGTGACCAGTCATAAGTCACACCATGAAGAACCTCCATTACAAGCTCTCTCAGACGACACCAAGCCAATTCTCGAACCCGATTTTGCACCTTCAGATGTATCATGGTGCAAGGGTCGCGCGAATCCCATTTCCATTCCTCCTCCTCAGCATGCATCAGAAGGCCACACCGACCTAGTATACGCGTTATGCCACACAACAGACTTCATCATAAGCGGCAGTAGGGATGGCTCGATTAGAGTCTGGAACGCATCGACGCGGCGCCTGGCCTACCCACCTTTATTGGGTCATAATTCGTCCGTTTTCGGCATAGTCGCGGACCACGAGACTGACATGTTGGTCAGTTGCGCAGGAAACGGCAGTCTTATTGTGTGGCAACTCTCAACAGGGGACATGAAAAGTAACATTAAGCAAGCACACGGAGACAGTATCTTGAGCATCAAGCTCAACTCGCAATATGTTGTGACAACTTCAAAGGATTGCACAGCGAAACTGTGGGCTTGCAGCTTCCTGGACAGCCTCCGGGAACGGCGAGGTAGCAAGCCATTCCCTCATAGCGTACTCCGTGGACATACCGGGGCTGTTAATGCAGCGGTTCTCACAGAAACCGAAGTTATTACCGCTAGTGGAGACAGGATAATTCGCGTCTTTAACATCGAAAGTGGCACCTGCATCAGACAGATTTCTTCCCACGAGAAAAAGATCGTATCTCTAGCGCTTTCTCCGGATGGTCAATACATCATTTCGGCAGGAGGCGATTTGGATGTTTTCATCCATCACAAGCAAACAGGCCGTCCAGTTTCACGGTGGAAAAGCCACAACGACCTCATCCGCGCCCTGGTGGTCATGAACGAGGAGAACTTGATCGTCACCGGATCATATGATGAGTCAGTAGCGATATGGGCTTATAGCGATGAAGGAACATGGAGAAAAGAGCGCAGCCTGGATGTTAAAGAGATTCAGAGAGTTCTGGGCCTGGACCTCAAGCAGCAGGAACGAAGTCACGATTTCACCGAAAGTGTTCGGAATGCAGTCGTAACAGGCACAGAAATTGCCGCGCTATCTAGCGGAGTAGCTTTTTGTATGTTCTCAACGGAAAGGCAAATTCTGTGTGGTGCAGGATGCACCATTGTCGGTTGGAAGTTTGGGGATCCAGTCGAAGAGGACGAAGAACAACACATGTCACGCACAGAATCCTCCGAGTCGCGAAGAAAGTTGAAAGGGAAGCGACAAATACTGCTCCAGCACATCAAAGATCGTTTCCGATAGTCATCAATTCTAGAACGTTTCGGATGTGTACCGCGTCGCACTGTTTCGTTGCACATGCCGCAGTGTTGGCCTTGTACTGGAAAAAGGCGATACGGACTTCCTTGAGCGTAGATCTTCCGCCTTCTGAGCTGTGCCGGGGGTCGCGACACAAAATCGTTGGGAAGCTGGTGCGTGCACGAAAGTAGGCAAACAAGGCAATAGGCTGGCTTCATTGCAGAGCCGCGTTGACGTCGCACGACACATATGAGCCTGCCAGCTCACACCGCGCCTCTATCCATGTCGAGCAGGAAAGAAGGCAATCATGCAGTCCGGAGTGGGGTGCAAGCCACTCAGGTAGCAAGTGCTAGGCCGGCTCGATAACGACATTACGTTTCGCAGCGTTGCACCAGGTGGGGGCCATGCATACAATACAATGGGTGTGATCGCTTTTTAAGTTGCATACCTAGGTACATATACGCTGCTATCTTTCAGGGATTCCACGGTAAGCTCTCCTGCCCTTCGGGCTGGGACCAGATAAACCCCTCAGGTACCTCGACTACCCTGCCCTTCAGCCAGTCCTGGACGCCATCCCAATCAACGCACTTGTGCATGGCGTTCGAGTTTGGAGTGGGATTTTGATGGTCAAGCACCCAGTCGTATGTTACGAGCGTAGCATCGAAGTTACACATGAGACTCTGCCTAATGTAGTCGACGCAGTGCTCATAGTGACGCTCGTACATTTCAGGGATATCCTTGATCTTTTGCTGCACCTCCTTGAAATACGATTGGTGATGGTCCTGCCAGATGTAATGCAGGCAGTGCAGCTGATGCGTTCCCACAGCCACCGCAATATATCCTCCTCCGACTGCTTCTGGGAAGTGAGATGCAGTACTGAGGTTGTGACCGACGGCCTCAATCTCGGAGGCTTCCACTCCGATCATGCCGTATTCCATGACTGAGTGCCAGGCTGCCTTGGTATCCGGGCTTGGGGGACCTTTGAAGGGAGACGGGTGCCAAAGAGAGCCATTGAAGCGCGTTTCGATGTAGGGAATGGAAGCCACACCTTCGTCAATGGGAGCTGCGGAGTTCAGTCAGTAGGTTCAATTTCCGATCAGATATGGTGAGCATACAGTAGTAGTTGTGTAAATTCCAGCATGAAGTCCAGGAGACTCGGCCGACTTGGTTCCGAAGGGCAAGAAGCACAAGTATGATGCTTAGACTCACGCCGTGCGCAAGCCAGTGATATTTTTTAACACTGTTTGGTGATCTCGAATACATGTAAGTGGTTTCGTCATTTTCAGACCGAGAGATACTCGACAAAGGTAGATAGGTGATGGTGGGCTTTGAAAACATCTTGATGCTTCGCAAAGAGCAGGTGTAGTGTCGTGATCAAGGAAATAATCTAGGATATGACGTGGGAATCCAGCATCCGTCGAAAGGTTCTGAGTTCCTGAAATTCGGGATGTTGAATGTTGACTTATCAGATGATACTATCGTCACTGACTGCACTGTTGATACATTTGATTGCGCTGACTTTGGCTACTGGCTCACCCACCGACTCGGGGTATTGGCACACTTTTCGTAAACCAATGAGCATGGTGCCCGCATTTCGATGCGTCGTGGGCTTATCAAAGATGTTTAGGCTGACCGTTTCCGTCGGCAATTCCAAGATAAGGTTCATGTGCTGGTGCAAAAGTGAGCAATGCGTTGAGGCTGAAAAAAGAGGTACAAAAGGTTGATGGGAAGCCACCGGTCTTCAACTCAAGCATCTTACTATACTGTACTGAGTCAGTATTTGCTAAACGATTCTTATCATAACATATCCTACGTAAAGAGTCGCAGACATGAAGCTACTTGTCATCGCACCAGTCTTACTCGCTGTTACATATGCTGCGCCCGTAGCCCAGCCAGCCAGTGAGTCACCAGCCTTTATCACAGCTCCGCCTAGGCTAATTTGACACTCTAGATTTCGAGGCTGATGCTATGCTGGCCGTTGCGCGGTCCCCAGAGTCCTCCTACGCCAACAAGCGTGGCGAGCGTGCCCATTTCGAAGCTGATGCAATGCTTGCTGTGGCAAGAGCCCCAAAATCGTCCTATGCAGAGAAACGCGCCAAGTTCGAGGCTGATGCGATGCTTGCTGTTGCGAGGGACTCGGAGTCTTCGTACGCAAAGTGAGCAGGGTGGAACTCTGCATGCTCGGTGATTCAACGCGATTAGCTACCTAATCAACAATGAAATGCTGCCGATTACTACCACCATTGAAACAAGGCTGTCGTAATGATTGTGATCGTCGCATAATTGCTTTCCTATATTACTGTACCGGTGAGCCTAATCGAGTGGCACGAAGTGCAGTACAATCGTCGAATGACCGTGCCCATCCAGCCGTGTCTTATCGCTGTCGAGGCCCGAGCCGAGAAGTCGTGAGACCCGAGCCGCGAAGTCGTTGGCAGGGTTGTGGGCAAGCAAGCAAGCACTTATCGATAAGAATTTCGAACCACCATCTGGCATGTGTTCTCGGGCACTATCGATAATTATTTGCTTGCTTGTACACAGATCTGGTCTCTTGTGCCTTGGGGAGCGGCACACTGAAGTTTGAGCTCAGCCAGAAGTTTGGCCTGTGGGGTGGCACATGTGCGCGGTGGGGCGGGTTCACCCGCATGAAGTGAGCCGAGACCCACTTCCCGATATTGGATGCATTGAGGGCAGAGTGCACCTGCTCTACCCTGCTCCCAAACGACTCTGTAATGGAACTCGCTGATAGGCCGAACTGACCGCGCAGTGAAGCAAGCTGACGCTAAGCTCCTAGTAGTAATGTGTCAACGGTCAGATCTGTATCCTGCCGTTTGATGTTGCTGGGAGCAAGCGCGCGAGCTTCTTTGCATCGCGTAGGCGCCTGTCGGCGTTATCCAAAATCCCGTCGTGTCAGCATCCCCCAGATGTACTCATAGCTTCGCGCCGGCCCTCGACAAACGCAATCGCGTTGCGAATTGAGCGACCGGCAACCACAATCAGGATTCCTTCTCACCAATACCACACCAGTTCTTCTCCAAGCGCCACGGCTAGTCCATCGCCACCAACATCTTCGTTCGCCGACCTAAAAGTAACATTTCAAGTCTTTCACTGACAGCATTGCAGGTACACCACAGCTTTCGCGCTCTTCGAGGCTTTGTAGGAGGTGAGTCCACATTGCTCACACACGGGCATACACGGCTTTGAAAACATCAGGGTCACTAACAGTTGCTCCAGGCCGGCATCACCGTCTGTTTCGTCAATGTGGGCTCAGACCATCCGTCCATCATCGAAGCCATCGTCAAGGGCAAGAGAGAGCGGCCAGACAAATGGCCCCGCTTCATAACCTGTCCATCGGAGATAACAGCTATATCGATGGCAGATGGCTACGCGAGGATATCCGGCCGGGCGCAAGCTGTCGTAGTACATGTCGACGTGGGCACGCAAGCGCTTGGACAGGGCCTACACAATGCAAGCGTCGGGCGGGCGCCTGTGTTCATCTTCGCCGGAATGTGTCCCTATACTGAGGCTGGGGAGATGACGGGGTCACGGACAGAGTATATGCACTGGCTGCAGGAAGCGCCTGACCAGAAAGCTATCGTTCGCCAATATTGCAGATATACTGGCGAGATCCGGACAGGCCTCAACGTCAAGCAGACCGTTGCACGTGCGCTGCAGTTTGCAAACAGTGGACCCAAAGGACCAGTCTATGTTGCAAGCGCAAGAGAAACACTTGCGGAGGTACTCGAGGAGCCTTACCAGTTGGACCAGGAACAGTGGAAACCCGTCGGTCCCGGTGCCCTGCCAGCTGACGCGGTTGAAGAGGCAAGTTCTCCATCTCTGCGCTTACAAGACATCTTACTTACGTGACGTGATGACTCTATAGATATCACAGACCTTGGTGGGAAGCAAGCGCCCACTGATAATCACAGGATACTCTGGAAGAGACAGGCGCTGCCCCGAACAACTGGTCGCTCTCGCAGATCTCATACCTGGTTTGCGAGTGCATGACACTGGAGGCAGCGACCTCTGCTTTCCTTTTTCACACCCGGCTTCGCAAGGCTTCCGTCTTAGCACCGATGAATGCACACGCGATGCTGACATGATCTTACTCCTCGACTGCGACGTGCCTTGGATTCCATCGGTCAATCCGCCACCGAGGGGCACACGCATATATCAGATTGACATCGATCCTCTGAATGAACGCATTCCAGTTTCCTTCTTCCCAGCGCATGGACGGTGGAGAGCTGAGTGTTACACTGCATTGAAGCAAATACTTTCCCACATCACGACATCTCCCTTGGGTGGGACGCTGCAACAGCCTGAATTCCTGGAACGCAAAAAGGTTCTTGCAGATAGCCATAAGCAGAGACTCGTCGAAATCGCGGCACGATGTCACTTGGGCGACGAGCAATGTCTTGACGCGAGCAACATTGGCCATCTTCTCAAGCAAATCCTTCCGGACACAACGGTATTCGTGATCGAGGCTGTGACATGCGGGCAGCTTCTCTCTGATCAGATTCAGGCCGATAGACCCGGCAGTTGGATTAATTGCGGTGCAACAGGTATTGGCTGGAGTAATGGCGCAGCACTAGGTGTCAAGATGGCCACAGACGACGCGGCCGTCACTACGGATAGTGCGTATAAGCCGACGCTCATTTGCCAGGTTGTTAGAGATGGTAGCTTCATGTGCGCAGCACCTTCGAGCGCGTTGTGGGTCGCTTCCAAGTACAAAATACCCATCCTCACAATTGTACTCAACAATGGTGGTAGGTCTGCTATCGAACACTTCCTATACGCGCGTTGACATTCTCGATAGGCTTCAAGGCTCCAAAGAGCTCAACCGCCTTGGTGTATCCTGATGGATTGAATCAGAGAGCGACTGATGATGAGATGAATATCTCCTTCAGGCCATCTCCAAACTATGCAGCACTCGCAGAAGCAGCTGCTGGAAGCCAGAGGTCGAAAGCCGCGATGCAGGATCCGGATCAGTGGATGGAAGGCGTACGAGTAGATTCGGTAGCGTCGTTGAGGAAAGAGCTGGGTAAGGTCTCACAGCGAGTGCTGGAGTAGAAAAAAGGCATGTTGATTGAGGCTTTGATAGCCTAGTAGGTCGGACTGGATGTGATAGGTGGGATGGGCTATGACTTGTCGAAGTCCCACGCCTAGCCTTGGCTTCAATCTTGCGTGTCGGGTGGCCAATGAAGTTGGTCTCCACATGTCAATGGTATGTATTGACCGGCTACCAATATGTCTGAGCGCATTTCACCGCCCCTACTCGTTGACATGCTGTTTCCGAGTGCCACTTCATGCACATCCTCTTACTGCGTCTTGGCGCATACGAGCAAAGATCCAGAGCTTTTAGCAGAACAGAAGTATTTAATGATAGCTACAATTAGGTATCGGAGGCGTAGTTGACACTGATCGCCATAGAAAGCACCTCGATACGAACTGAAGTCATGACTATCACATTTGGCAGCGCTTTCACTGCTCCTGATGTGACTCTGGTATTACAACGGCGCTGGAAAGCTTACGTTACATATTTTAAAAGGGGGCGGTTTCGGTAATGATGTTCGCACCGATTAAGCGATTGCTATCAGAGAAGATTACCGCAGATATTGATTGTACGGCCTGCTTGCGCGAGAGCAGCACATTGATACCTCTGCAAAGTGTTTCGGAAGACGAGAGCTGAGCTCCGGTACTGAACAGTGGATACTAACGCTTTCATCGCTGTAGCGTCTCGAAATGACCGTATTCCGAGATACCGCGGCTTTCAAGATCATCAAATGTTTCCCAGCATTTTTGAGTCGTTTTCGACAGGCATCTCCCAGCCAAAGGAAGAATGGAGAGCAGGCGGATTTAGACCTTATATTGTCAACTAGGCTTTGTTCTGGGCATTGGATGATGAGCTCTCCGAGCTTCCCACATGTGATCTTTTCCTCGATACTTTTCGTAGCAGATGGCCATGGTCAAGTTGCTCCGATGTTTTTAGAGACCAGACAATCTCTTTCCATACCAACGATGGTTGCCGACTTTGGAGACACACGTTCATACCTGATAAGCAGCGTTGTTTTGGAGGAAGAGATATAGGGGTTTGGTATGGGAGGAGGAAAGAGAGGGAAGACCGGCGAAGTAGACTTTATATCTCGACTCGGGCATATTCCATCACGGAATATTCTCCAAAAGCTTCGCTGTAGAAAATCCCAACGGACGTCTGCCCATGTGTATGTAGGTTTAGAGACCGTTTTGAATGCACATACCCGTCGAAATTCCAGCTTTAGCTTGGGTCGCAACCGGAGAGTCTCCACGTCATCATAACCACAGTTCGCTATTTTGGAGAGCACACTCTCATCGAGTGAGCGCCTTTTCGTTTTGGAGAGATGGGCAAAAGTCTGTGTGGGAGAAGGAGAGGAAGCAGAGGCAGACTTGATATCTCAATCTCTTCCCCAGATTTTTGTATGGGTGACGTGTGCGCGCGTTTCGGAAGACCGCCAGACATCTCCGCACATGGGTGGCTAGTGCGTGACTTTTTCGAAAGCAGAAAGCTCATGAGAAAGTGACAAGGTAATTTTGGAAGCACGGGATCTCTCCACATGCCAGAACAGTCTCAGGTTTTTGAGAAGCAAAAACTCATGTGCCTTCACGTATTAGTTTCGGATAACTAGAGACTGAAAGTGATGAGAGAGCAAGAGTAGAGGCGAAGAGGGCGTTTATATAGCCCGATCGAGGGACCAGGCACACGGTCTCTGATCATCGAAATCTTGCCATGGAGTTTTCGCAAGATGTGTTGAAGCGTACGTCGATTCAATTCTCTTTCACATACGTTTCGGAAGACGGCTTTTTCGAACGATCAGCGCAGCTCATTAACGAGAGGTAGAGCTGTTTCTGAAACAGGAGACGGACAGTGGCAACGTTTGGGCGACCGCTCCTCTTTCTCGCACATCGAAATTGAGCACAATGATTTTTGGAAAAAGCCGAGACACTCGACATGCATCCGCTATCGACGTGTTTCGGAAGCAGCACCAGCCGCAGACATTTGACAGTGTCGAGTGCCTTTTTGGGAACACAGCAAGTGTGGTGGCTGTAGGAAGAAAGCAGGAAGACAGGTGAGAAGTGAGAGGCTTTACATGCTGTGAGAGCCATTAAGCGCTAGAGGTAGTTTTTTT